ATGTGTGAGCAATATATCTCGTGTAGAGCAAGTAAGTAAAGAGCAGTAAGTAAAGAAAGCAGTAAAGAACACAAGACAATTATAGTGGTTCGCGAGGTGGTGTAATCCTCCTACTCCACTTGCTCTTATATCCAAGAGCAATTCACTATATCCACCACTTCTTGGTTTCAAGATACAATGAATTTCCGTGATCTAGTGTTTTGATCACAAAGCCCGCACTAATCACGCCCAATGACACCACACTGCTGCTTCGGGTTTCACGTCGTCGCGCTACTATCCCAGGATTTCACGACTCCGCATTACTTTCTCCCCGTCTTCCACACTCCGGTAGAAACGTATCCCGTGATCTAGTGCTTTGATCACAAAGCCCGCACTAATCACGCCCAGTGCCTCCGACACTGCTGCTTCGGATCTCACAGCTCCGTGTGACAATCCAGGATTTCACAGCTCCGTGCTACTTTCCTCCCTTTTCTTGTTTTGCTCCAAAACAAGTGTTGTCTTGCTTCCAACTTCTGAGACTCTGTAGAAGATCTTCAATGATGCGCAGGTCTCTTTGATGAAGATTAAAACACTCTGGAATGATTTCTCTTGAATGCTCTGAGTGTTTTCTCTCTTTGAATATATCAAGTAAAACACTTGATATTTATGCTCTGTTTAGCTTTGTTTAAGAACTCTCAGAATATTTTTCTTTGAAGCTCTCTGAGTTCTTTTTCTTTTCTCACTTCTCACTTGAAGATTTTTGGTATGCTCTGTACCAAATGAGATTTTTGCTCTTTGCTCTTATTTTCTGCTCTTGAGTTTTTGAGTTCCCTTTTTTGCTCTATCTTTCTCTATCTTCAAGTCTTCATATCTTCATCATTTTATAGCTAGTAATGAGAATCTGTCCATTGGAAAAATACGATCTCATTTTTGAAATCTTGTATCTTTTGTCAGAGATCTTATCTTATCTTTTGCAAAGTGTCAGAAGAGATAAGGTACCCATGAGTTCCCAAACTTCATCTGATATTCCTCTGGTTTTACGTTGAGTGGGAATATCCGGGTCTCTGTTTTGGTGTAGAATGGCTTCTCTGATCAGCTTTGAAGTGGTCATTGTATCTTTGGGATTTAAAAAATATTCTTCAATTTAATCCCATACTAGTTAGACTAGTAATTTGAATTTCTCCATTGTGATTGGCACCCAATTTCCACTTGTAATCAACACCCAACTCAATCAAACTTAATTAATTTTATTATTGTTAATGGTGAGATTCGAACTTGAGCCATTTTGCATAATATATCAAGCATCTTCCAATTCGTCCATACGGTATATTGGTTAAATCTCCAATCACCTTTGATGTACTCCTTTCTTTCCATAGATGTTTGATCTTCAAGTCAAATTCATGCAATCTTTCAAACTTAATTTTCTTTCACGAAAATTCTTCTGGGATATCTTATTGAGTAGTAGCGACGTGATTTCATATCATTCATCTTCTTCTTCTATTTGTCATTTTCTCCAGACAAATTCTTGATTTTAGGCTTTATATCTTCTTCTTCTATTTTCATGCATCTTCCTCTGTTTTCTCTTTTCCAATTTAAATAATTTCCCGATCATGGTCTAAGACTCTACTAGACCTATGAAATAAAATTGGGGGTTCTACAAATACATATTTGGCATATCAAAACCATTACACTTTATTCCTAACACCACCCCTCCGACGGACGCTTGGTATCCCGACACCGGCGCTACGGTGCATGCCACACCTGACGCCGGCATGCTGACTAACTCGGAGGACTACAGGGGTCCGGATACGCTCCGGGTTGGAAATGGTACAGGTTTGGCTATCTCACGGGTTGGTCATGCATCCATCCCATCCGTGTCTAAACAATTGTATTTGTATAATATGTTGCATGTCCCTAAATTAACCGTTCCTCTATTATCTGTCCAAAAATTCACTAATGATAATGGGGTTTTCTTTGAGTTTCATAACAGTTGCTTTCTTGTGAAGGATTCCAAAACCAAGGCTGTGCTTCTTAAGGGTCCTACCTCTGGAGGCCTATACAAACTACCTATGTCTCGGAGTCACTTCGCGTTTGTCAGTTCCCGTGCTACACCGGCGGTATGGCATCGCAGGCTCGGTCACCCACAGAGTCTAGTTCAAAATAAAGTCCTACAGAATTGCCCGGTTCAGCCAAATAATGTCAAAGATTTGGGGTCATGCCAAGCTTGCCATCTCGGCAAGTCCTCACGTTTTAAGTTAGATAGGATTGATAATTCTAGCCACAATGTACTAGATCTCCTGTATACAGATATCTGGGGGCCTGCCCCTGTAGTTTCATCTAGTGGCTCTCGTTATTTCCTATTGTTTGTTGACGATTTCACTCGGTATTGCTGGTTTTATCCATTAAGGGTAAAATCATACATTTATAAATTTTTTGACTCGTTTCATGTGTTGGTAGAACGACAGTTTTCGCACTCTATCAAGTCTATATAGTCCGATTTAGGGGGTGAATACCGCAAATTACACACCACGTTCCATTCATTGGGTATCAATCACCGCCAGTCGTGTGCCTACACACACGAACAAAATGGAAGAATTGAGCACCGTAACAGACATATTGTTGAAATGGGCTTAGCTCTTCTCGCTCAAGGCTCTGTCCCACAACAATATGACTACGCCTTTGAAACTTCCACGTGTCTAATTAACTATCTCCCATCCTCGGTCTTAAGCTTTGAAAGCCCATATTTCCATCTCCACAAAAAGTCACCACCATATTAGTTCCTTGGGTATTTGGGTGTCAATGTTACCCCTATCTTAGGCCTTACAATCGGCATAAGATGGAGTATCGTTCCACCCCGTGTGTCTTCCTAGGTTACCCACTGTCCTATAGGGGATACAGATGCATGGATCTAATCAGTGGGAAAACCTATATCTGTCTCCATGTGCGGTTTGACGAGTCTGTCTTTCCTTTTGATACAGGTTTACCGCAGCAGGTCCCGCCACCTGCATCTCTACCATGGGCTTCAGCACCCATCATGTCTGTGCTACCACACCCGACCGTATGTGATCCAGGTCCTATGCCGGTCACTGAGCCTATCTCGCTTGTTCAAGAAGTGTCTCACTTGGCCATTGAGTCTTCCGCCCCACCACGGGCTCAGAAACGGACTACCCAAGTGCAGCCTCAGGACCGAGGGCATGTCATGCGTCTTCGGCACATGACTCGGGGCACTAATGAAGAATTTCAGGCCCTAACTACAACGACTGATCCAACATGTTACTCCCAAGCTGTAGGACATCCACAGTGGCGGGATGCTATGGACCAGGAGTTCAATGCGCTACTCCACAATAGCACTTGGCTTTTGGTCCCACCGGACCCTACCATGAACAACATTGGGTGCAAGTGGGTATTCCGCACCAAACGCACTGCGGATGGCTCGGTTGAACGCTCCAAGGCACGCCTTGTAGCCAAAAGTTTTAATCAAGTGGCCGGGGAAGATTTTTTTGGAACCTTTAGTCCAGTTGTCAAACCCACTATGGTCCGCATCCTGTTCTCATTGGCCGTAACAAACAACTGGACACTGCGGCAGTTGGATGTTCACAATGCCTTCCTCAACGGACACTTAGCAGAGACGGTGTACATGAAACAGCCACCGGGATACGAAGACCCGGCTCATCCTGGCCACGTCTGTCTCTTGTAACGTTCGCTCTATGGCCTCAAGCAGGCTCCTAGGGCATAGTTTAAGCGGCTTCATGACTTTTTTATTGTCTACAGGTTTTTCCTCATCCAAGACTAATGTCTCGCTCTTTTACCACACCTCTGGTGGTACCAAAGTGTTCCTCCCGGTCTATGTTGATGACATCATAATGATGGGAAGTGACACCAGCTTGGTCAATTCTTTACTCCGTCGCCTAGCCTCCACCTTCAAAATTCGTGATCTTTGCAAACCAGGGTTTTTCTTGGGCATTGAAACTGTTGAGGTGGGTGATGGCATGGTTTTCTCACAGCGGCGTTACATGACTGACTTGCTGAGTTGGTCCGGGATGGTGGACTGCAAACCTCTTGCCATGCCCGCTTCTGTCACTCAAGCGGTGACTCCGTCTGATCAACCGTTTGAGAATCCCACGCAATATCGCCGCATAGTTGGTGCGCTGCAGTACCTAACTGTCCCTCGGCCCGACCTTTCGTATGTGGTCAACTGTCTGTGCCAGTTCATGCACTCTCCATCTATTGATCACTGGGCCATAGTAAAATGCGTGTTACGATATATCAAAGGTACACTTCATTATGGACTACGGCTCTCACCTTCTCCTACCAGCACCATACATGCCTATTCGAACTCCGACTGGGTTGGCTGCCCGATTGACGGGAAGAGCACTAGTGGGTATGCTGTTTTTCTGGGAACCAATCTCATTTCATGGCTCTCCTGGAAACAGCGCACCGTTGCCCACTCATCTACTGAAGCAGAGTATAAAGCATTAGCTAATGTAGCTGTTGAGGTCACCTGGGTTGTCTCATTGTTGCGCGAACTAGGGTTGCATACTGGACAACCCTCCAGCCTATCGTGTGATAACTTAGGGGCCACTTATCTCTGTGCCAACCCGGTATTCCATGCTTGGACCAAACATGTTGAGATCGACTATCATTTCGTTCGTGACAAGGTTGCCTCAGAAGACTTCGTGGTTAGCTTTGTTTTAACCAAAGATCAGCTTGCGGATGTTTTCACCAAGCCCCTGCCCGGACCAAGATTTGCAGCTCTTCAGGACAAGCTCAATGTTGTGGCTCACCAACCTTGTGCTTGAGGGGGGTGTTAGTGTTACTATTATTGTTATTATTATTATTTTTTTTTTTTTTTGAAAATATTGTTATTATTATTATTATTATTATTATTATTATTATTATTATCATAGTCTATAATTGTGTGGTGATAGAATAAGTCTTAGAAGGTTAGTCCAATAGTCAGGAGTGTTTAGTGGTGCAATTTGATATACTCTCCTGTAACCTTTTCTGTTATAACTGAATCACTTAATCTCTCTTCTCATCGTTTTGTAGTCTTATTGATTTGTAAGAGCCTATTTATTGTCATATGCTGGACCAGCAAGACATATCACAATGATACAGATTATTATATCTATTCTTATTCTTTTTCAATTTTTCTCTTTTGAAATACCCATATCCTTCTCTTTGGAGTAAACACTACTCGATCATCACTTGAAAAAGTGCAATCAAAACCATTCACATCCACCTAGCCATTTTGTTTGAAACCATATGATAGGGATGAGTGGAATAATATTGTATGATGTAGTTGGAATTGTTGGCTTCTTCTTCATCTGTCATGCCCTGTTGCTATCTTATGTTAGTGCTAAAGACACACTTGCGCCTGGAGAATACATATTACCCACTGATGAAGTTTACTTGAGGTCTTCAAACAAAATCTTCGAGTTAAAACTCATCAGGGGGCCGCCGGGCAATAGCTCTACCTCTAGCTGCTATTTGTGTATACAGTTCACAGAGTATCCAATCCTTGCAGCTTCCCAACAAATGATTGTTTGGGTAACTTGGCTCGGCCAAGCTGAAACTTCTTCCGTCCCGGTGTTAAAAATGGAAAGAGACGGCCGGTTGGTGGTATCTGCTGATCATGAATTCGTTGTAAACGATGATCGACAATATCCATATGCTATGAACACAACCGCAACTCTACTTGATACGGGCAACTTAGTCTTGCGAATAGTAGGGGGTCATACCCATACGTCGTGGCAAAGTTTCGATCATCCCACTGCTAATACTTTGCTCCCGGGTATGATATTGGGTAGTAGATTCGGGGTGAAAACTCGAGGGGTCCATTGTTTGACTTCTTGGACTAGTGAGGGGAACCCTTCTCCTGGTGATTTTAGCTTGTGTGTTGATCCAAACAACCCCAAGCAGCTAATTGCCACACGAAAAGGGATTGTTTATTGGAACAGTGGGGTCTTGAGTGAACACAACAATAATTTCCCATTTCTTCCTGTCCTTTCGCATCATCTCACATATTTCTTTAGTGACAATGAAAGCTATTTTGCTTGGGATGGAAATGTAGACCCGCATTCAACCTTCATCAGAATTTTAGCAACCGGTGAAATTTCAGTAGCGATAAATCATGATAGAAACTTATCAAGAGCATCAATTAATTGTGATCATAATGGTACTTACTATTCCAACGAGGGGTGCGTAACATCATCCGATTGTACTGCTCGAGACAAGTTCAGTTCAACTACTGCTTTCATCCAATGGGAACTACAGTTAAATGATACCAAAGGTACGAGTCCTTATTCATGACACGGGTCAAGATACACATTAATGTAATACTAATTAATCAGGCCGGAATAAAAGTGAGAAAGTATAGTATTTTATCTTTGATTTAATATTACATTTTTTGGTATTAGTATCTGACCTGTCTCACACAAATTTTTACTGCTTGGTATAGGTGACTGCAATGAAATGTGTGTAAACAATTGTTCTTGCAACGCTTATGCTACACTTGAATCTGATGGAACAGGCTGCAAATTTTCTTCTTTCACTGCTTACCGTTACGTGTCTAATGGGGGCGAAACTTTTTACATTCGAGATGCAAAAACAGGTAGGCCAACCCCCTTGTCTGTATTTTACTTGCTGCTCCATATACTTATATATACTCACTAAATCTACAATAATCTATTTTTTCACAAGTTAGTTTGTCGAATTTTACACAATCAATCTATACTATGAAATAATATTGTTGGGCGGAGGCCAATAAAGGTCAAGTTTGATACACAGTGGTTGGGGATGTTGGGGACGGTAAAAGGCTTAAAAAACTAAGGTCCTGTTTGGTAAATGCTGTTAGCTGATAGCTGTTACCTGTTAGTTGATTGTGTTAATTAGAGGGTATAACTAGTTGATAACATTAGTTGATTGTAGAAAGGTGTTTGGTAAATTAACTGTTAGCTGATAGCTGTTTAGTATAATTGTTTTTCTCAGAAAGCTAATTGAAAAAGTTACTTAGAGCAACTTTTTGAATTTTAGCATTTTTGAAGTTACAAAAAGTTAATTAACCAAACACTTATATTGATTTTTATCCAAGTCAAACAGGTAATAGTGGTCAAATAAGCCAAAATTGACTTATAAGCTAATTATTTTACCAAACAGGGCCCAAGTCTAACACCCGTGTCTCGAAAATGTGTGGCAATATAAGAAAATAAAATTGCGTCTTCGCTACTAGCTCTAACTTTTAGAGTAATGGTAATCGCTTGATCCTAACAAATATCAAAGTAATGACTCAATTGCTTCGCTTTGAACAATCTTAAGCAAATCAAACCCATCTTCCTCCACCTCCATATCCTGCTCCTGCTTTGACAAGGAGCATGTCACACCACAGAAGAACAACAATTGTAGCTGCTCTTACAGTAACGTTGTTTGTGACACTTGCTGTGGTTTTCCTAGTATGGTATATGAATCGAAGAAAATGTTGCAGTTGCTTCGAAGGTATTCTCTTAATAACAATTTATAAGATTTTTAGTTTCCTAAATCTGCCTATACTAGAGGCTAATCAGCTATAAGTGTTTGACACACAGCCCCAATTGTACCGTCGTCATCACAACAACTTGCTAGTAAGGATGAGGAGTTACCTTTCTTCAATTTCAAAAGCATAGAGCTCGCCACAAATTACTTTTCTGATGAGAATAAACTTGGTCAAGGAGGATTTGGCCCTGTATATAAGGTACGAACTATATATGTTGATTTTAGGATAATGTAGAGAGAATTATGTATTTTGAGATGAACTTTTTTTATCTTCTGTCAATTTTTAACACGACGACACTCAAAAATCGGATATTAAAAACTAGGCTTAGATTTAGGCTTATTGTGCCTTGAATTTCCTAGGTTGCCACAATAATGATCTATATAGTTTCACGTATTTAACATGTTGTGTTAAAAATAGTAGAAACTTGTTTAATACATTAAAAATAAATATTGTATAATAAATATTGTGTCAACCCTTTTATACGTAAAATTAGAATTATATGAAAACTTATTTCGAAAAGAAAAATAAGAATTAATCTCATCTGACTATCTTGCCGGATCTAATGATTTTTTATCAATTAGGGAAAAAATATATTGGTGTTTTTGTAAATAATTTATAATTTTTAAATGTATTTCGCAACATTATAAAATACATTGCACCCAATCTGAAAGCATAATGCACTTAACGCTGACCTTTTAGAATGTATAACTTAGTTTTTTGATTGGCTTAGGATGGATTTTGTTTTTGAGTTTCTTTGAAGTGCTCAGTTTTTACGGTCGAAGATTTAGTATTTATCGTTTAGCTTTAAGCTTTAGTTTTTTGGTTTAGGTTTTAATGTTTATCAATGAATGCCTTACTTTTACAAATTCCACTGTTATTGTTGTGAAGTGTACTACTCCGTATTAAAGTTGGAGAAAATTTACGAAAATGTCACTTTTTTTTCTTTTTTCAGTCATTACCTCAGATCCATTAGACTCTTAATAGACAACTAAGATTAATTCTTAGTTTTCTCTTGAAAATAAGTTATCATCTGAGTGTGCTTTATATATATATAATTAATACTCAAAATAGTTATCGATAATAGTGATTTTTTTCAATTTCGTCCTAATTAAACGACTTTGGTGATCTAATGTAGTCCCAGACTTTTGTGTTTTTACTCAATTTAGTCTTCCGATTGTTATTCCGTCAAATTGGTGTTAAATAAATGGACAATTCAGTAATCTCAACATTGATCTCTCTTTATCTCAGCCCGGCGAAGTGCGAAATCCCTATTTCTTTTACAAATTACTCCCAGACCTGCGAATCAAATTTTATATTTGCATGTTTGGGAGTAATCATAGAAGCAATTCGTAAAAGAAAGAGAGATTTCACACTTCGTAGGTCTAGGAGTAAAGAGATGTCAATATTGAAATTACTAAATTGTCTCTCTATTTAACACAAAATTGATGGAATAACAAGCGGATGACTAAATTGAACAAAAACACAAAAGTCTGGAACTACATTAGGTCACCAAAGTCATTTAGGACGAAATTGAGAAAAAACCATTATAGTCGAAGACCATTTTGGGTATTAACTATATATATATATATATATATATATATATATATATATATATATATATATATATATATATATATATATATATATATATATAATTACATTCATGTAAAAGCAGGGCTTAAAATACAAACATGTGGACATTTCTGGATCATTGGATTTTGGGTATCTAAGGTTGTGATTAGTTTTTATGATTTTGTGTGCTGCCCGCCTGTGTGCACTGTCGTTCATGGACGTGTGCACGCCAGCCCAAATATTGTGGATTCACACATGCATACTATATTGGACGTGTGCATTGTCGTCCAGGGATGTGTGCACACCCGCATCTAGGTGTGTGCATGGTATATGTCCACATGTTTGTATTTTAAGAGTGTTTGCATGTGAATACAACCCTATATATACAACCGGGACCCTTTTTTTGTCCTGCTCCGAACTTATAAAATGATAGAACCGACCCTGCCATCAGGATAGACCTTTTCTTTAATACCGCCAATGTGATCGAAGACAAGGGCACGATGCCCTGCCCCTGCATCAACATCGTAGAGATTGTTGGTAATTTCACATATGGAAATCCCAACAATGAAAGAAATATTATAAATACTAGTATTTGTCCCGTGCTTTGCACGGAAAATATGTTATAAAAATATACCCTATATAAGGTTTATTCATATATAAAATTTTTGTTATTTAATAATTATCACCCGCGCGATGCACGGGAAAAAAATTATGTTATTATAAATATTAATAAAAAATAGAAAAAATAAAAATATTTTAAATTGTTTAATATAATAATAATTTTGAGCTTCCATTGGTCAAGTATTTATTATTTTTATAGAATACAAAATTAAAATTAAAATTAAAATTAAAATTTTTTATGGTTAATATAATCTCTAATTATGTACATATTCAAATAAAGTTATAGAAAGAATTTACATAATTACATTTAGAAAGCAAATTTCAAATTTTGTATGAGTAAATTTAAACTCTAATTGAACACATTTTTTATATGATTATATAATATATTCTTTATGCACATGTCATTCCATAAACCCAAATGTCATTCTATAAGTCCAAGTCCTCTTTTTGTGGAGATAATTCAAATGTATTTTTTTTTTTTAAAGTCCTAAGTTTAGAAATCCAGAAAAACATTAAAGACCCATACGATATATACATTTATATATATATTTAAATTTTTATTTATGGCTCAAATGATTTTTTTTTTATTCTGATGTCCAATAATTGACCCACAGCCCGCAGCATTTGCTTTCTTCATCCCTTCTCGCTTCTGCCATTTCTTTGAAGCATTTGAGAGGGAGAAAAATTATATGTGGAGGCTTGCATTAATTGCACTGTTTCAGATATCGAATAGGCTTTCATCAAAAATTTAATTAATATTGTAATCCCAAGAAGCACCATAAATAACAAAAGCATATCAAATAAACTTTCATTGTAAAGTCAGAGATTTAATTGATATTGCATCGTTTCATATTTTCTATTAATCGGGAATCGGAATCCTTAATCCTAATATCATAACATTTAATAACTCCATTAATTCAATAAATGTAATCCTTTGTTATGGGCGAGAAAAAAAATATTTTTCAAATGTTGTGTTTTTTTTTTTAATAGTAAAAGATGTTGTGACTATTTTATATTTATAGCTAGTAATAATAATAATGTTGGTAATTAATTGTAACATTAATCTTAACTATATGGTTTGGGAAGTAACATTAATTACTTCCCAACCATATAGCTTTATTATAGTTTTTTTTTTTGGAATGTTACTGGCCCTATTACATTGTAGTATCTGTTCATATACTTTCTCAACCTACTGAAACACAAAGAACCAATAACGCCTCCACTGAGGCTTGAACTCACAACCTTCCAAATGGAAGTCCAACCCGGATACCATTAGACCACATAGTCCTGGTAGCTTTATTATAGTTTAGATTAGATTAGATGTAAATATGTAATAATATAAATTATCGCTATGATATTATATTAAAATATATAGCGTAAACTCGTAAAGTCATTACGCAGAAGAAAATGACATAGTTTATTCATTGTAAAAGCATGCCTTCTGCAGTTCTGCCTACTTGAAGGAAGAAACTTATGAAGAGCTTAATAATTAGGCAATTTACCATTTACCATTTACCAATAATAGGAAAAAGAATATGACTCTTTTATTACTCATACTATACGGTCAAACCTAAAAGACTCAGCTTAGGAAGTAAAAAATTTAAAAAAAAAAAAAAAAAAAAAAAAAAAAATTAACAACATTGTTTATATATATCCTACACGAGCTATTCAATTGGGTGTTAAGTACTAAATTAAGGACAAGATTGGAGGTTAATCAACCATCAATAATGTCCTATATCTCTATGACTATGAAGCTGGGACAAACCTTGGCTAGCTTTGTTCTTAGTCTCCTTTCATCCTATTGAATTTGTTGTTGTTTAAACAGCAAAAGCCGTTTTTGACATGTAATATATTTAATATTTAATTTCTAACATTAATGTATATCTATAACAAGTATTATATTTTCATTAGATAGTAGTACTTATTCCTTAAAAGTCCTAGTGAAAATTAATATTTAATTTGTTGACCCATAAAAAAATATTACATTTTTTTTTTAATTTTATAAAACGTATTACATATTTAATATTCATCTTACATCATATGGTTCACACAAGACCAACCCTAATTATAAAAAAAAAAAAATAACTGGGGTTTTGGTTAAGTTATAAATAAAATATAATGGCAATTCTCGATATCCAAACAATTAACATTTATACTATTTGTATCTAGGGGATATTAGCCAATGGTCAAGAAATTGCAGCAAAGCGGCTCTCAAAAATGTCTGGGCACGGAATTGAACAATTCAAGAATGAAGTTTTATTAATTTCAAAATTGCAACACAGGAATCTTGTTAGGCTTTTTGGTTGTTGCACTCAAGGAGAAGAGAGGATATTAATATACGAGTACATTACAAATAAAAGTTTGGATTCAATTCTTTTTGGTTAGTTGGCTTTATTCATTTCCCTCTTTTATCTTATATATATTTTTTGTTTATTTCTAAAAAATTGAATATATGATCACTGGTTTTGCACAGATGCAAGAAAGAAAACCTGTCTTGATTGGGGAAAGCGCGTCTCCATAATTGATGGGATTACGCAAGGGCTTTTGTACCTTCACAAATATTCAAGATTGAAGATTATACATAGAGATTTGAAAACAAGTAACATATTATTAGATGTTCACATGCATCCCAAGATTTCTGATTTTGGAACGGCAAGAATATTTGAAGATAGTGATTCACCAATAAACACAAAAAGCATTATTGGGACTTAGTAAGTCAATGAATATGTTTGATCAATTATCTCTTCTATATATATTTTTCCTTTATATAACTATTTGAACAATTTGATGGTAAACCAGTGGTTACATGTCTCCGGAATATGCCATGGATGGTTGTTTCTCTGAGAAATCAGATATATTTAGTTTTGGAGTCATGATAATAGAGATTGTAAGTGGAAAGAGAAACAATGGCTTCTACAATCCTGATCGTGTTTCAAACATACTTGGCTATGTAAGTATTACCGTATACATAAACTATACAAAAATGTAATTGGTTGATTTTTAAGATTCTTTTAAGGATTCATTTATTTAAACATCTCTATTTAATTTGACCAATAACTATATATGTCTAACTCTACCCATGAATGATTACTAGGCTTGGGACTTATGGATAGAAGGGAGACTCTCAGACCTAATAGATTCTACAATGGAAAAAACAATTTCAATTATTGAAGCAACAAGATATATTCAAGTAGGTTTGCTATGCGTTCAAGATAGTGCGACGGATAGACCAACTATCTCTGATGTTGTATCCATGCTTGGTAATGAATTAATAGTCTTACCTACTCCTAAACAACCTGGTTTCTCTGCCATTATTGGCTTAAAATGTGTGGATGTTGTTAATAATTTAAAAGCTTGCTCTTGTAATGATGTCACAATTACAGATATTGAAGGTCGATAGCCATAGTTAGTACATATCATTCTCTCATTGTGAAAAGACTTTTTGGGTAGCTTTCATTGTACAATAATTGCTGTTAAACTTCACCAAAGATTGTAAAGCTATTCTTATCCTTGAAAGTGAGGCCTTTGCAAAATGATGTGGCTACAGAAGTGGATTTTTGTTTTATTTTGTTATTGCTTAGGTGTAATGTAAACTTACTAATCTTAGAAGCTTGTAAATTACAAAAAAATAAAAAAAATAAAAAAATAAAAAAATAAAAAAAAAGCTACCGCATGGCAACATGCGACAACATTTTTGTACTTTTATTAAAAAATTTATTTTATTATTATTTTGTTATTTTATTGCATTGTGATGTGAAAGTGTGGTCACTCTTGTAAGTGAGAGAGTATTGTAGGGAGTAAAGAAAATATTGAAAAAATTGTAAATTTAATGATATGGAGGTAAGACTCATTTTTGTAAGTGAGAGAGTATTTTAGAGATAAAATAGCCTAAGTGACATTTCTAATTGCAATTAGACATATCACTTCTTTGAATAATGTTTTGCTATTGAAAAAGTTGTCAAAATATAATATCAATTCATGTTTTCTATAGACATATCACTACATAGTTAATATTGTATGACAAGCTTGTGATACGTTAACAACCTACTATAATATCAATTCATGTTTTCTATTTGATTTTGTTTCATGTTTAGACAAGGTACAACTTTAGAATATATGCAAATATTTGGAATTAGTGTAATTACTAAATTTGATAATGTTGGCTTAATGTATTAGGAAGTTAGAATCACCAAATTTCCTTTTCTAAAAATTATGTTGAAATTGAATCGTGAGGCTTGAATGCAAAGTTGAAACCTAAAGTTCTACTTGATTTTTAATTAATGAATTAACTTATCATTAATTAAGTTGTTTTTTGAGTGGAAAAAAAAAAACAAAAAACAAAGTAAAAGATAAGAAAGCAAAAGTAGGGACACAACAATTGATTACGCAGTTCGGAGCTAAACTTTCACATCTGCAGGGCAACTCCCGTTAGCTCAATCCACTAGATGTCACCAAGATTACAGGAGTTTGAATACAAAAAGCCTCAGCTACATCAAACACTTAAACTTCAAAATATCTGTTGCTGGAGACAGGAGCGGACCCAGCATGGGGGCAGCTGCCCCCCCTCACCCCACCCCCACCACATATATAACCCTTGTATGTATATATGTATATATAGTACAAGTTTTAGTATAAGTATAATAAAATAGATAATATTTGACAAAAGATAATTAGACTAGGTGGTAAGGCACGCGTGCTATGTTTCTCAAAGGCCAAGGTTTGAATCCTTCCTCTGATTTAATCCCTGCTAAATTAATGAGATGTGTTTATAGGATTAATATTTGATTTCTAATTAACAAAATATATCTACTTTCCTAAATATATTTATTACTTAATTATTACATATATATATATCTAATTATCTAATTATTAATACTAATGATAATAGTGTGTCGCTGAAACCTTCAAATTAACATTAACAATGTAAATAAATTTCCTATTATTAATTCTAATATAAAAATAAATTCCTATTATTGATTCTATCGAAATTTTAAAATAAATTTATCTTTGAACACTAAAATTAAAGAATTCTTAATTAAGAATTGCAATTGATATATAAAAATAAATTTTTAAATTATTATATTTATAATTAAGAATTTTTGAATTTTAATTAACAAAAACCATCGGATTTTCTATATCTATTTTAATTCCTAAATCTATTTAAACCGCTAAACTCCTAAATTTAAATTACAACCTTAGTCACTAATAGAAACAATTGCAACATCTTGTAAGAATATATATTTTTTGGAAATAAGACATCTTGTAAGAATATATATTCATCAAAATCCAAATTGTCTCCGTCAGAAGAACTCAATCTGTCAATCTTTTCTCTCTATCAGAATCTTTATCAGTATTCCATTAGTAAAGAGTTCACTTCAGTAAGTTGTTTTTTGTATTGATTTTTTATTGTTGAAATTCTCTTGTAAACTATTGATTTTTATTTTCTTATTTTTTGTAATTTGTAAACTCTAAAAAGTTATACTTTTGATATAAAGTGGAAAGGTTGAGTTTGTAACTTGATTTATGGGTTTTGAGTCTTAAATTTTAAGAGCATAATATGTATAATTTTGTTAGTGGCTAAGAATGATGAACATTGTAATGACTATATTTTTCATCTCTCATATGTTTTCTCTTTTTACTATTTTTGTGTTTGGTGACAAATAGTATTTAACCTAAAATATGCCACTATTCATGGGTTCACTTGTGTTCTAATCCCTTTATATATTTATTTATAGATTAATAATGGCTACTTTTCATGATAAAGACCATAATATAGTCAAAATTGAAGAAGATCACGGTTGTGAAATTACAACAGAATTGAGTGAAAGCAATCATGATGAATTGGTGAATAATGGTGAATTTAATATAGGTGAGATTGAACAAAATGCCCATGCAAATGCGAAGAATGATGTGAATAATGACACAATAGAGTTATGTAGGGAATGCAGTTTCAATCACTAGATGCTGCTTTAATGTGCTATACTAATTATGCAAAACATGAAGGTTTTGGAATTCGAAAAGCCGCATAGTAAAGTCTAGAAAGAATCAAATGGTTATTGGAAAAGAGTTTGTTTGTTCAAAGCAAGGTTACCGTGCAAAAAAAATACTTAGAGCGAGACAATAAGAAAAAACCTCCATATGATGAAACACGCATGGGATGCAAAGCCATGATTTATGTATCTAGAAAAGACGAAGACAAATGGATAATATCTAAATTTACTAAAGATCATAGTCATGTGCTTGCTTCTCCTAGTAGTGCTCGATTTCATAGAAAGAGTACAAAATCCCAAAGGAATTTGATCGACGTGCTTGATGAATTTGGAATACGTACTAGTAAAATAATGTCAATTTTGGTTACTAAATCGATCTGGAGGAATAGATAGGGCTGATTGTACTGAGCGAAATATTCAAAATTATTTAAGTAACAAAAGGCAAAAGCAACTTGAGAAAGGAGATGCACAAGCAATGTTGAATTATTTTAAGTGTCAATCTAAATCGAGGATTTTTTTTATGCAATACAAATGGACACAGAAGGTCAACTAGCGAATTGTTTAATTTTTGGGTTGATTCTAGGTCTAGAGTGACTTATAAATTTTTTGGAGATGTGACTTTTGACCCAACTTATTTGATTATATTCTTACAAGATATTGCAATTGTTTCTAATAGCGACTAAGGTTGTAATTTAAATTTAGGAGTTTAGATGCTTAAATAAATTTAGGAGTTAAAGATAGATATAGGAAATCCGATGATTTTTGTTAATTAAAATTTAAAAATTCTTAATTATAAATATAATAATTTAGAAATTTATTTTTATATATCAATTAAAATTCTTAATTAAGAATTCTTTAATTTTAGTGTCCAAAGATAAATTTATTTTTAAATTTCGATAGAATCAACAATATGAATTTATTTTTATACTAGTTTTTTACGCGCATTGCGCGATTGGGATAATGCCCAATGTTTTTTTTTTTTAAAATAAGTACTTTAAAGTATATTAAGGCAGGATTATATTGAAATTGTTTATGCATAGATAATTGAAGGTTGAATTTGCGTATTTAAATACGTAATTCTTCTCCCAAAGGTTGAGTCCACCCCAAGGGCCCCCCCACACTCCGACCCGACAAAGCATTGTGGGAAGTTGTAAGTCACGGTGACTCAATGGTTCAGCAGACAGGGCTAAATGCTGATACGCACAAGGAATCTACCCACTTTGGACATAATTCTCGCACTGCCGCCGCCGAGGTTCAAACCTTGGTCTCTTCTCCCAAATACTACCCACTAAACCATTGAACTAAGCCCGTGCGGGTTAAATAAGTAATTCTAAGTTTACGAATGCAAGATAATATAGTCAAGATTGATTATAATTGTCAATAAAATAATTGTATAGGTATGGTTGAAACCAAATACGGGACATAAGGGAGAACAAATAAAAATTAGGGCATAAAATATTAAATATATACTAATATTGTTTGAGGAGATTCCGACATTAAGATTTGTGGTTAAGTTCTATTAAAACTTTAATATTAGAATTAGATTAATGGTGTAGTTATAATTCTATATTAGACTTTAATATTAGAATTAGACTAATGGTGAATTAACGGAAAAGTTAAATAGATAATCATATAATTAAGGATAAATTAGAAAATCTTAAAAGAAAAAAATTAAAACCTGAACAATATGAACCATTCATTTGATTTAATAATTTGGCGGTCATTTTTTCTACCCAATGTTAATAATTAAAAAAATTTGCTGGTCAAATCCGCTAGTATAATCTGCTAACGCTAACCGTTAACTGCTGATTGTCAAACAAGGACATTGCGAGGTAGTTCTCACTTCAATTTGTTGTGTGATTTGAATACTCTCTTTGTCACAAAATCTCTCAAGTAGTTAATATGGTTGACTTTATTAATTATATTTTTTTAATTTTTTCATGGTATTAATAAAATACTTGGTAAATAAATATATAGCATTATTTGTATTATAGCTTTGATATTTAATTAGAAAAATAGTGCACAAAAAAGATAATAGATAATGTAGTGAATATAATCAATTGATGAATTTGAATGTAAAAATTTTTACATTTGAGAAAAATAAAGACAATATAACTAATGAAAATATTTCTTTTAATTAATTTATTGTTGTAACTACTAAATTATTATTTATATATAATTTAATTATAGTAAAATAGAGTACTAATTATGCCAACTTTGATTGGGATGAGGTTCGAACCTAAGATTTTTTTTTTTTTTTTTTTTTGAAATCAATGAGTAAGTTAACGGTGAACTAACGGCAATTCTTAAAATTTTAACGGAATTAGTAACGGTGTGTGGGTATTTTAGGAAATTTTAGTGTAAAATTTAAATCTGATCAATCTTTTAATCAATCTGAGTCATTCATTTGATTAAAATCTGTGACCGCCATTTTTTCTATCCATTATAGGCCTAACTCTCTTGGACTCTTATTAGTATAGTAGATTAGAATTAATAATAGGAAATTTATTTACAATGTTAATGTTAATTCAAAGGTTTCAGCGGTACACTTTTATCATTAGTAATCCTATTAATAATTAGATAATTATATATAGTATAATAATTAAATAATAAATACATTTAGGAAAGTAGATCTATTTTGTTAATTAGAAATAAAAAAGTTTCCTAAAAAAATACAAGTCTTAGAAATTTTGCAAAAAAGGACGCGGTTAATATTAATTTTATTTTTAATGATGTGTCATCTCCTCATTCACCGCCGTTGTATAGCATCCATACACCGACGGTGCATCAAATATTAATTCATGTTTATAATGTATTTTTTATTCGAATTATTTTATCAAATTAATTATGTTTCATATTTTGTTATGAATACACATATATATAACTTTCTTTTATATTAATAATGAGATGTGTTTATAATGTATTTTTTATTCGAATTATTTTATCAAATTAATTATGTTTCATATTTTGTTATGAATATTTTTTATAAAGTTTTGATGTGTTTTATTTTTCGTCCACATCCAACAATATTTATGGCTATACTTTTAAGTGTTATATGTTTTATCAAACTATCTCTTTTGTTTTAATGCGTTACGCCCCCACTGAAAAAATTTTCTGGGTCCGCCACTGGCTGGAGAGATGCGTGCATGCCATTCTGTATCATTAAGCTTATATTAGCTTCCATTATGCCAAACTAACTTCTTGATAAATCCTCATGTAAAATACCACCGGTTAGTTTTATGACTTTTGGGCAGTCAACGGCAGACCAACACTACCATTAGAATAAAAAGAATATAAAAAAATATATGAGAAATAGGGAAAATATATGGAGAAAATATAGGAACTGAATATTGCTGGTGAATGATGTATAATAATATTTCGATTAAATTACTGAAATGGTCCTCGCCTATTGCGAAATTATTAATTTGGTCTTCGACAATTATTTTTACCCAATTAAGTCCCCAATTTTAAAAATGTTAACCATTTTGGTCCTCCGTTAGATCAGAGTTAGAAGCCTGTCAAATGAGAGGGTATTAATGAAATTTCGCATAAAGCTCTGTCCTAATTACTTTGGCCTATCTCGACCAAATCGCCCTGTCCGACACTCCGACATTGCAATTCTGGAAAATATCATCGATTCATTTCATTTCATACATACGCTGTCCGGCTTTGCGGATTTGCATTCTGCAACTACTTCGCATAACTTATAATTGGTTAAAAGGTGAGACCTTTTCGGTTTGTGTATGGCTGCTGCCAGGAAGCTTATGCACGCGGTGCAATACGACAACTACGGCGGTGGAGCCGCAGCTTTGAAGGTTCCTTTTTCCTGCAATTAGTTTTTGAGTTCTACTACATGAACTCCCAAATTCTACTCCCTCATTTGTACTCCCTATGTGGCAAGTCTGGATTGGTTGTTTTCAACATGTGGGTCCACAGAAAAATGTCTACATTAAGAACATGTGAGAAGGAGTACAAGTTGGGAGTATAAAATGGAAGTACACCAAGTATTTTCCTTATTTTTTTGGTTCTGTCCTTTTCACTATTTTTGCTTAAATTCCTAGTTTCCGCGGCCCTTTTGGATTTCTGTGATTTTTGAAGATGGGGTAGATGACATTAAATCAAAGGTGTTCATGTTGTTGTGAGCTTGCAATTGATGGACTTTGTTTGTTGTAGCATGTTGAAGTTCCTATACCCTACTCCCAAGAAAGATGAGCTCTTGGTGTGATTTCAGAGGAGGAATGGGAATCCTTGGCGGAAATTGAAAGGAAGACTATAATGGTAGGGCGATTTGGTCGAGATAGGCCACGATTGAAGTAATTAAGGCAGAGCCTCATGCAAAATTCCATTAATACACTCCCATTTGACGGACTTCTAACCCCTGATTTAACAGAGGATCAAACTGATTAATATTTTTAAAGTCGATGACTTAATTGGATAAGAAAAATTGTCAAGAATTAAATTGATAATTTTGCAATAGTCGAGGGACCATTTCGATAATAAACTCTAATATTTCCGATTCACTTAAGAAAACATCTTAGTTTACAACTCTTTATTTTCATTATTGCACTTTCTTAAATTTTGATGTCTAATATAGTAGGATATTACTTATTTGATAATATTCAATAATATCCGTTGTTGGATAAAAGTCATAAAACAATATAACCCTCTCGCTTCTAAATTACTACCCGACAAGTATACTTGTGTGCGACTGCCTTAGAGGGCGGCACTCAACACCTAAAGTCATGCAATAAAGTGCCAATTTAAAGGCAAAGATAGAGATTGTTCATGAACACAAGCTTGTCTTACAATATTCAATATGTAGTTTTTGAAAACTATTTTAAAAGCATTACATTCAAAGAAATGATGTCAAATTGCAATTAGACATGTCACAATCTTTGATGAAGTTTATAATTATTTTAGCACCAAAATTGACACAAAAAGTATTTGCGCAGCAATAGAGTAATTTGTACCAAGTGTGGCTATCGCCCATCGATCTCTGTAATTGTGACCTCATTAACGGAGTAAATTCTTGAATTATTAGCAACATCACCACATTTTAAACCAATGATGGCAGAGAAACCAGGTTGCTTAGGAATCGGTAAGATTGTTGATTCATTACCAAGCATGGATACCACATCGGTCATAGTTGGTCTATCTGTCGCACTATCTTGAACGCATAGCAAACCTACTTGGATATATCTTGTTCCTTCAATAACTGGAATTATTTTGTTCATTGTTGAATCTATTAGATCTGAAACTTTTCCTTCTATCCATAAATCCCAGGCCTAATGATCATTCATAGGTAGAGTTAGAAACAAAAACTTATTACTCAATTTAAGATAGAGATGTTTGAATAAAAGAATCATATAAATAAATTAATTTTTTGTATACAATTATGCATAGAGTAATACTTACATAACCAAGTAAATTTGAAACACGATCTGGATTGTAGAAGCCATTGTTTCTCTTTCCACTTACAATCTCCATTACCATGACTCCAAAGCTAAAAACATCTGATTTTTCTGAGAAACAACCATCCATGGCATATTCCGGAGACATGTATCCACTGTTTTACCATGAAAGTGTTTTACAAGTTACGTAAAATAAAAATATAGAATATAAGAGATATTTAAAACATATTCTCATTGACTTACTAGGTCCCAATAATGCTTTTTGTGTTTGCTCGAGAATCACTATCTTTAAATATTCTGGCAGTTCCAAAATCTGAAATCTTGGGATGCATGTGAACATCTAACAATATGTTACTTGTTTTCAAATCTCTATGTATAATCTTTAGTCTTGAATAGTTGTGAAGGTACAAAAGCCCTTGAGCAATCCCATCAATTATGGAGGCACGCTTTCCCCAATCAAGACAAACTTTCTTTCTTGCATCTATGTAAAACCAGTGTCATGCATTCATAAATGGAGGCAAGCAAGAGAAATAATATAGGGTGAACGCGCGATGGAAACAAATAAAGCAAACTAACCAAAAAGAATTGAATCCAAACTTTTATTTGGGAGGTACTCATAGATTAATATCCTCTCATCTCCTTGAATGCAACAACCCAAAAGTCTGACAAGATTCCTATGTTGTAATTTGGAGATCAATAGAACTTCATTTTTGAATTGTTCAACTCCGTGTCCAGACATTTTTAAGAGTCGCTTTGCCGCGATTTCTTGACCATTGGCTAATATTCCCTGAATAAAACTTATTGATCTTAATAACCACAAAGACATCTTCTACTCACTTTGTCTCATTTTATATGTCGTGTTTAATTAATGAGGTATGATTGAACTTAATTATAATTCAAATTTTAATATTAATTAATTCAATGTTATTAAATGAATTATATATTTAGAAATTACATATAAAATACTATAAAATACAGAAAATCAAATTCAAAAATTATAAGAAAATGTTCAAGAAAATAATTAAAGAAAAAAAAGTTGAATCGACTAAGAATGTTGGTTGCAATCTGTATTGTTAGATAAGCTGTGGGAGCAATCTGTATTGTTACTATTGTATTTAGATATTGTCGGTATGGGCAACTCAGTTGGTCATAGTCTCATAGGGGTGAAATTTGGAAAGAAGGATCAGGAATCGAGTCTCAACAGCGTCAGTGTGAGAGTAACCTTTCAGGAAGAACTATTGCAACTTTAGGTAAGTTGTGACAGGTAAAAATTGTTGAGTTTAAGCATTTAAGTCTATCTACTATTCACTTGAATATTGCAAGTTAGCCATAATTGGGCAAAGGTTGTAATAAAAAAAAAAAAAAGGAGAAATGTCATCATATTCATGAGACTTAATGTTGAAATAACTCTATTGAAATTTTTAGACTGAATTGACATTTTTTTTTCCTTAAAGAAAGTTGAAATTTCTAGCTTTGTTAATTGCAAATTTGGGTGGAAAGACTAAACATGAAAAAATTTTAAGTCATGTATAAAAATTTTAAAAAAATAAATAAACGACTAAAAATAAAAATATTACTATACTAGTTACTCACAAACTGAGGCTAAAATAAAGGTTGATAGATATATCGGAGATGGTTCCGGAGAGAACAAATCCGAGGAGGTGGACCAAGTCAACCCAAAATAGGCCAACCTTGTAGTCGGCCCCAAGGCCGACCTCCATAGTTGGCCCTGGGTGCCCAGAACCGACCTCGATGCCAGCCCTAAGCGAGCCGACCAAGGCCAAGGAGGTCGGTGAGGTCCATGAGCTTAGCTGAGCTGGCCGAGGCTCGGTCAAACGAAGAGCATAACCGACCTCGATGCCAGCCCTAAGCGAGCCGACCAAGGCCAAGGAGGTCGGTGAGGTCCATGAGCTTAGCTGAGCTGGCCGAGGCTCGGTCAAACGAAGAGCATAATCATCCGCCCTGATCAAGGCGCTTGTTTTGCACAAGGTGGTTATAGGGAAGCCAAGTATAAAAGAGGTCCTTTAGTTCCTATTTGGTCATTTCCTTGTCTTCTTTGTACATACTTGAACTTTCATTACACTAGCAAATAACATAAAATAAGGCCTTTAGCTTTGTCTCCTTCAAGCTTTTATCTGGTCTCTATAATCCTTTAATTAATTGATTTTGGTTAATTCGGGTCGAGGTTAATTAATTCCATCAACGGTGAAGAAATTAAAATTCACTTAAGTGTGAAAACAACAAAAATATGTGAGTATAGGTCATACCTTGTATACAGGACCAAATCCTCCTTGACCAAGTTTATTTTCTTGAGAAAAATAATTTGTGGCCATCTCTATGCTTTTAAAATCGATGAATGGTAACTCCTCGTCTTGACCAGCAAGTTGTTGTGTGGATTGCACAATAGGGGCTGCGTCAACAACACTTATAGCGATTATGCGGGCTATAGGCAGAGTTACGAAATAATATGAATTGATAATAAATTGATATTAAAAGAAAGACATAGTACCTGTGAAGCAGGTGCAACATTTTCTTGAATACCAAATTAAGAAAATCATGAGGACGAGGGTGACAGCAGGCAGTATTGATGTAAGAGAAACTATAGTTTTGGTTCTCATCATGTGGTGTGGCATATTCCTTGTCAGAGCAGCAGGAGGAGGAGCAGAAAGTTGATTTGGAGGAGAATGAATTTGATTTGCTTGAGATAGTTCAATGCGAATTGAATTGAAACAATTGAGTGCGTGAGTATGTAGTAGCTTAATTAGGTTGATAATAAATGAAAGTTATGATGGAGAAAGCTATCTTACCTGCATAACGAAGGTAAAGAGTGTTGCCATGAGACGCGTACTGGTATTTAGTGGAAGACGAAAATTTGCAGCCTGTTCCATCAGATACTTCAAGTGTAGCATAGGCGGTGCAAGAACAATTTTTTACGCACAATTCTTTGCAATCACCAATGTTTAACGTGGTGTTGAACAACACTCGTTCCCATAAATTCCATTCGATGAAACCAGTAGTTGAATTGAACTTGTCTCCCGAACTACAATTGGATCGTTTGGGTGACCCTAGGCACCCCTCGTTTGAATAAAATGTATCATTACGATCACAGTTAACGAGTGATATTGTGTAGTTTCTATGGTCCTCAACATATACTGAAATTGCCCCAGTTGCAAAAATTCTGATAAAGGCTTCAACCCTATCAATATTCCCATCCCAAGCAAAATAGCTTTCATTGTGAATAGAGAAATACCTAAAATGGGAATTGACTTGAAGAAATGGAAAATTGTACCCATTCCAGACCCCACTGTGCCAATACACAACCCCTCTTCGCATGGCAACTAGCTGGGTATTGTTTGGATCAACACACAAGCTAAAACCACCTGGAGAAGGGTTCTCCTCACTTGTCCAAGAAGTCAAACAATGCTGTTGAGGATGAGTGTTTTGAAGCCCAAACCACCCCAATTTCATCCCTGTAATCCAAGTATTACCAGTGGGGTGATCGAAACTTTGCCACAACGTACGACCCCCACCCCGCAACACTAAGTTGCCGGTGTCAAGTAGAGTTGCTGTTGTGTTCATGACAAATGGAAGTTGTTGATCATGGTTTACGACGAATTCATGATCAACATCAGATATCAACAACCGCCCATCTCTTTCCATTTTTAATTCTGGAATGTAAGACGAAGTTTCATTTTCACCTAGCCAAGCAACCCAAATTGTTGTTTCTTCAGAAGTGGATGTGACTACATAACTAGCCCACTCAATACTCAAAAACCAGCTAATAGCAGAGCCAGAGCCGGGTCGCTTCAAGAATTTTAACTTGAAGAGTTTATTTGATGACTCCAAGTAATCGTCATCAGTTGGAGATAAGGATTCTCCAGGTGCAAGTGTATTTTCTGCACTAACACCAGATAGCAACAAGCCATGCCAGATGAATAAGCAACAAACAATTATTATTCTACCCATTCCTATCATATGCTTCATCCCTATGGTCTATGTTAAAAACTAAATAAATGGCTAGGACTATATATATATGAAACAATATATTCACTCATTTCATGTCGTTCCAATAAAAAAAATAAAAGCAGTCCAGTCTAGGCCGCCAAAAGAAGACTTGGGTGGAATTCTTCTGCACGTGTGGAAAGTATTCAGAATTGAAAGAACTTTTCATACTTGAACTTAGACTAACATCATTCCAGATATTTATCGAGTGCGTGCCTTCATATGGAGGAATACATATAAATTCTATTACATGTATTTCCAAAATTTATTCCCTCACTTTCACAGAGCGTGCAGCCATGTGCACACAGAATAGGATTCATAATTTCTATACTATAGATTCATAATTTCTATACTATAGATTCATAATTTCTATGCAGTACATTCGTAATTTCTATACTGCAGATTCATAATATCTGTACTGCAGATTCATAATTTCTGTACTGTATAGTTATCAAATTAAGAACATATATATAGTTCTGTGATTTGTGAATACAGAATTCAACAATTGGGAATATGAACATCGAAAATTATGAACATAGAGTTCTGTAATTATGAATATAGAGTTCAATAATTATGAATCTATAGTATAGAAATTATGAATCTATAATATAGAAATTATGAATCTAATTTCGTGTGCACCATGCATGGTGTACACGGTTGCAGAGCATAATTTGCCCACTTTCACTTCATAATGTGGCAAACAATGACTCCGCCCCTAGCACCCATTTTCCTTGATTTCATACTTTTGAAGTTTGGAATTAATATTCTAAGAATTTTGAGTCCTGTTATTATATTTTTATAAATTGTTAAATTGACTTATTCTTCCCACAATAAGTCAACACTAAGGATATAATTCTATCATATATCAAAGCTACCATTTTCCATTTTTAAATCAAGTAAATAAATAAGATATTAAAAAACGTTTTAAATTTCAAAGTCTATTACAAATAGCGTGTGGAAAAAAGTTCTAACTTTTAATTTTATTTTTTGTCGAGAAAAACTCATAATTACTAGTTAAGAGTGTGCATTGAGTAAATTAACTTATTATCATTTTTATTTCACGTTTATAATGTTATTTTTAAAATTCAATTTGCCATTTTATATCGTTTTACATATACAATCTTATTTAACCACTAACGTAACATTTGGTTCGTGAAATGCATTAAAAATGGAATATTATTCAGTAGAATTGATTTATTCTACTATTTGAATTGGTTTGCTTTCTAATGCAAGGAATAAAATTATGCAAAATAGGCTATTCTCTTTGTCAGGCCGTTTCATTAAAAATAAGGGTTCTGTCTAATAGTTTAATTTGGACATTCATTGTTTTTGTTTTGAGATGCAATATAAATATAATAGAGTAAACTGCAAAGACAAAGACAATAATAGAGAAACAAGAACACCGGAAGAGAGAGATTTTTTTAATATTTAAATTTTTCTATAATGATAGCGAGATTTCTATTTATAAAGGTAAAAAACACAAATAGAAGTCTGTTGGTCCCGATAGATTGTGTGGTGAGTCTAGAGGGGGGGGGGGGGGGGGTGAATAGACTCTCGTTTTTCTTTAGATTTTTAAAAGAAAAACCCTGTCAACACTTTTGAGTAAGATAAGCACAGCGGAAAGGTTATAAAGAGAGAGTTGCACGAGTTTGATGAAAGGATAAGATGAGTGATGAAAAAGATGATATGCAAGCAGTAAAATAAAGCAGTAAGTAAAGAGAAGAGCGAGACGAGATTTTATAGTGGTTCGGCCAAACTTTGCCTACTTCCACTCTTCTTCCACAACTGCTGGAAGGATTGCACTATCACTCTTTAGTACAATTACACAAAGACTTCCTTGATCACTAAGCCGGACAGCCTTTGAAGGTTTTTCAACTCCGAGAGTTTACTCCGCCTCTATCAACTTCTTCTTCTAAGTTGAGGTTGGTGTGAAAGTATTTCTTGATTCCTCCAACTGTGAAGTCTTGTTGGTGTGGGATGATTGCTTCAAGAGTGCAAGACTTCTTACAAGATGTAGGGCAGTGATGGGTGATCTATTTCAAATGCCTTAACACCTTGAATAACTGGTTCGCAAAAAGCTTTGAGATTGTTCACTTTTTAAGAACTTTTTGCAAGAGAGTGAGTAGAGTGATAATGGACCATGGAGCCTCATGCATTTAATGCTCCATTAATGGGTTTGTACTATGTAGCCGTTGAAGGTATGGAGGATCTGATGACTTTTGTCTTTTAGCTCCAGAGATAGTACAACTTCATTAAATGCTCTTTGGATAGCGTGTCCCATGAGTTGAGGTCCTTATTGTCCTAGGATGTTGTCAAATCAGACAGGTAGAGCATTCTTCTTGTTGATGAGAAGAAGAATACTTGTTGAGATAGTCTTGAAAAGAACTGTCTTTTTAATGACAACTCCTTCTTTCGTTGCTGTGGAGTCTTCTTTCGCCTTGATCAGCCTATCTTCTATTCATACCTCTTTTCGTGTGTTTGTTCTAGCTTAACACGAATTACATATGAGTTATGGCAACTTTCGTCTAGAACGAAAGTAGCGATACAATACAAAACGTAAGAGTTAGGGGTCTACTTTCTACATTACATTGGTATCATCAAAATCCTAATACAAGGTTCCTAACAAAGTCTAGTTAGGATATCTAGAATACCTCTGTAACTGAGGTAATCAAGTTCAAATCCATTTGGACTTCAAGTTATTGTATTCTATGACAAAAATGAAAATGTAATTAATTTTTTTTTTGTCCAAATATAATTTATACAGATTTAACAAAGAAAGAATACAATTCAAAAGTTTATTTAAAAGTACCATTTTTTGTTCATATTTAAAAACAAAATTATTCACCCAAATTCTATGTCAATTCCTTCTAAAATTTTATTTTCAATTACAATTAAGACCAATCTATGAATTCAAAAAAAAAAAATAATAATAATAATAATAATAATAATTATCAAGTACAAAAAATAATAGGTTATATCTAAAATATTTTTTTTAAAAAAATTGGGGGACTTGTGCAGTCGCTCTAGCTGGTAAATTATGCTGTGGAAACGTGTTCACCATACACATGGTGAACACATGTGTAGATCCATAATTTCTATACTGTAGATTCACATTTTTTTTTTTGAAAACGTAGATTCATAATTTTGTTTTTCATTTGTTGTTACAAATATTATGAATTTACAGTACAGAAATTATGAATCTACAGTATAGAAAATATGAATCTACAGTATAGCAATTATGAATCTACAGTATAGAAATTATAAATCTACAATCAAGAAATTATGAATCTACAGTACATAAATTATGAATCTACAGTATAGAAATTATGAATCTATAGTATAGATGTTATGAATCTACAGTATAGAAATTATGAATCTACAGCTTAGAAATTATGGATCCCGTTAACAACAAATGAAAAAACAAAACTATGAATCTACGTTTTCAAAAATAAAAATAAAAATTATGAATCTACAGTATAGAAATTATGGATCTACCCCTGTGTTCACCATGCGCATGGTGAACACATTTCCACAGCATAACTGTCCGCGCTAGCCAGGACTGGCCGTGCTTGTTAAAAAGGAAAAAGAATAATCATATGAGCAATTGCAGGGATCAGCTGATTCATCATATCATAGTAAATAATAGATGAGATATTACAACTCATTTACAGCCTTAAAATTTATGATGTTTCCTTGAATAACCAAATGTATTCACCTATAAATTCCTGTATCATCTTTCGTTGTAAATCATCAAAAACATATACAATTCTTCTTTTTTCAATGCTTGCTATCATGGTATCAGAGCATTGTGTATGATTTTAGGACCAAACTGCTCAATACTACTCATCATCTACCCATTCATAGTCCTTCAAATTCTGCTGTCAAGCCGCCATGTCCAAAGACGGTAGCTCGACACATACAACAGGCATCAACAGTGATGACCTAACAACCCATCTTGTAAACCTCATAAAAGATGGCCTCAATTCCCAGAACCAAAGCCAAAAACAAAACCTTTCTGATAGCCTCAAAATCAGCCTCAAATTAAACAGCCAAAATTATGCCCTATGGGCTCGAATGATTTGAGTTGCCATTGGGGGGAAATCAAAAACACTTCTAAGCCACCTATCCGAAAATCCAGCCCCACCAGATCCAAAAGATGACAAATATGAGCAATGAGAACAAGACGATTTAGTGGTGTTCTCATGGCTTATACGGAACATCGAAGCGGCTTTAGCCAGTAACCTTACTGAGTTTCCCACAACGAAATCTCTATGGGATGCACTCGTGGTTACATATAGCAGTGGAAAAGACAAGTTGTAGACATTTGATTTACACGTCAAGACAAATGAAATCAAGTAGAATGGTGCACCCCTTGAAGATTTCTGGATTTTAATGCAAGGAATTTGGGGAGAGATCGAACGAAGAGACGCAAACCCCATGACATGTGCAGCTGATATCGCAACCTACAACAAATTTAGGGTAGAACAAAAGTTATTCCAGAATATATAAATTTAAATAAATTATTTACAATTTATATTTATTGAAAATTAAAATAGCACACATAATACACCGGGTATTAATAATCTAATTTGAATTTTAAATTAAAAATTACTAAAGACTTTTTGTACACAACATTCATAGTTTTACTGCAATGAGCATTTGAATCACTATAAATTAAAATTTTAAGTGATTTTGGACTACTAACTCTTAAAAAAGCCACAAAAATCTGTTCATGATTAAAAACGTGATGCTTTAATAACATATCAACATGCTTTAAAGTTTTATAAAAAAAAAAAAAATTTAGTAAATTTTTTAAAACAATAAATTGTAGGCTTAAATATGAGTTCTTTTAAAAATCCCTTAGTATTTTTAAATGCCTAATTTTAAAATTTAAATATATTATTTAGCATAACATTAATAAAATTTCAAATATATAATATTTTTATAGGAATCATATATATATA